CCCCCCAGTTCCCAGGAGCACTTTATAAGCCTCCTAAAGGCCATGCATGTCCTTTTATTGGAAAAAAAACTGGCCCGTTTTCACAAAAAACAGGCCGTTTTTGGGAGGTCTGCAGAGTGCAAAAACTTTTTTTTTCATTTGCCTCTTCAAAATCTTGGTGCGTCTTATACTCCAGTGGGTAGTTTCCCCATTAACTTTGCTTGTCAGAAGGTCATGAACAGTTGCCAAGCATTTGAATTTCGATAACATGATTATGGGGAAGTGGCAAGGATCGTAACTGTGAAAAACAGTTATAAGTCACTTTTTTCAGTGCTGTTGTAACTTTGAACAGTCACTATATGTTGTAAGCCAAGGACTACCTGTACTTTTTTCTTTCAAGCCTGTCTTCCATATTACTCCAATTTAGTTTAGAAATTGTATATTGTGTGCGTATATATGCGTATCATGCTTTTTACTCTGATTTATGCTGCAGACAGAGTATATTTAACAAAACACTTTCGTATTTCTTTCTGACAACTATGCTTTGATGTACTTTCCTTAATGTGACATACTGTATTATCATCTCTCGTTGAAGCCTCCTGTTTTAAACATATGCTATGTGTTTTTGAATTCTTCTTTTCCCCTCCATTACTGTGATATTGTTTCTGTGTGTGCACATTTGTTCAAGTATGTATACAGCTTAATAATTGTTTAAGATCTGTTCTTAAATGTTTTGAAATGCTCAGGATTCTTTCATGCTATACCACCATGGATTATGTAAACAAAAGTAAAATATAAATGTCTTGTAGATGCATGTGTTACTACAGACTGATTCATTCTTGTTATCTCATCCTGATTCTCCTCATAAAGTTGAAATGTGTTACATTTTGCAGTTGATGGTTATGGATGACAGTTTGTGTGTAATTTCCTTTTTTGCTTCAATTTTACAAATGCTCATCTGTGATGTTCTGTGTTCATAGTTTGCAATACATCAAAGGATTAACAGTCCATGTACTTATTTGTTCTGTTCTGTTCAGTGGTATTAAGCAGAATGCTGTCTGCAGATCATCAGGCAGAGAAATAGAGAAATATACATAAGTAGGTAGAAGGGTGTGGGTTCACCGACAAAAGGGCGAACGACAGAAGCGCGCACGACTAAACTGCGGTGACAAAACCGCGAGTTCTAAACTGCGTGGATGAATGAGCGCTGAAGCGTGCCAACAACAGCGCGCCAACAGGAGCGTGCTGTAAACCTAACCCTAACCCTAACCCTTACCTTAAATTAAATCGCGCTTCTGTCGGCTCGCTGTTGGCAGCACGTTGATGACGTCGCGGTTTTAGCACCGTGGTTTTGTTGGCACGCTTTTGTCGTGCGCGCATTTGTCGGGTCACAAAAGGTGTGTGAATCAACCAATGTTGATTCAATTTAAGGTTCAGCTGTAGCGAAGTTCCACTTGTCATTTGAAGATAAATGTAAATTTAAATATATTAAAAATTCAGTTTAATAAATGATTTATTCAAAATTTATTCATTTTGATTCAGAATCATCAAAATGCCTTCAGCTATTGCATTAATCATTTTAATTCATATTAAAATTATATACCTATTAGAGGACATAAACATTACCAAGTATCAATCAAACAGCTGCCAGGATTTCATTGCAACAATTTAAAAAAATCAGAATAAGTTATAAGGATAAAGAAAAGAAAGAAGACAGTTTTAAAAGCTTTTACCAAATATACAAGGTTTTACCAAATATTCAAGGAACATTCTGATCCACCTGCCTTTCTAGACTGCCATGTTTATTAGCATAGCTCATTGGCAACTCTTTGTCAGTAGCAGAAGCCCCCATACACAACTTCAATCCCTTCAACTTACAGTACATAGAAGAAATTTTTAATTATTTGCAATGGTGGCAAATATCTGTAGTTCAGGTGGATGATGAGGGTAGAGGTTCCTTCTCCAAGCTTGTGGATTGGTTTCCAAATGTTTTGTTATCAGGCTAGGTAACAACTTCAGTGGAGATTAGGGAATGTCAGTGTAAGTATTCTTCTGTTTAGAAGGGCTTTGTGTGGTCTGTAGGTCTTGTAGTTCAGAAGAGGGTTATGTCAGGTCAGGGTCTTGTGATGGGTCAGGTGTAGGTCACAAGTAAGGATCTTGGGATGGGTCTTGTGACACACAGCCTCAATTTCAACCACAAAGACGCTGAGCCCATTGAATTCCTAGCCAATCTCAAATCTATTCTAAAAATGAACCATCTGGATGAAGAAATATGAGAAGACATCAGGTAAAGAATCACCCCCAACATCCAACACAACAGGCACAACAAAATATTCAGCCTAAAGGAGAAGAGAACCCTAGAGAAACCAGATGAAAGCATTTCTACCAGGAGACTGACTGTAGTAATGGACAAAACTGACTATATCAGCAAAGCCAAAAAAACAATAAAACAACACCAAAACCTTTCAAATAATCCATGATGATCTGACAAAACAGCTAGAGAACAAAATAAAAGATAGCCTAAGGAAATGGAAAAAGAAAAACATCTATTAGAGTGAAAGCACATGCAATCACAAGATTCTGCCACACCCTACAGATTCCCAAAATACACAAGAAAAATACACAAATACACAAGAACCTGATGCCCAATTGTGTCTCTATCTAGAATACCAATGTACAAAACCCCTGCAGAGGGAACTTAAAGCCCTTCATGGTATTGGACCTGGGTACTTGAGAGACCGCCTGCTGCCAATTACCTCCCAAAGACCCATTAGATCACACAGATTAGGCCTCCTCCGGGTTCCGTCTACTAGCCAATGTCATCTGGCTACTACCCAGGGGAGGACCTTCTCTGTGGCGGCACAGAGCTCAGAGCTTTGGAACGAGCTCCCCGCAGAGATTCGGACCCTCCCCTCTCTCCAGGCCTTCCGAAAAGCCGTTAAAAA